CCGGCTGAAAGGCAATGATCCTGGCAACTCTGCCTTCCTTAGGTGCTTTTGAAATCCCATCCTTGAGTTGTCAGCTTCCTTTAGGGACATGGTTAAAAGGAAGTGTGGGGCTTTGGGGTTTCCTTTTTGCAAAGCTCAAAGCTCTGTGTATGATCTTTCTTCCCCTATTCTAACACTAACACCGCCACGCAAGACGGCAAGCTTTGGACTGGCGGGGGGAGCGCATCTTAATGAGACTGCACAGGGATCTGTCTGAACTGGATCAGTTTAAGTTGTCTCCGCTGAGCTCTGAGTCAGTGGGAAACTACTCCCAACCCATAAAAGTAGTAGATTATATATATATAATATATAGTGCAGTATATATATTATTATATATATTATATATTATTATATATATAATAATATATAGTGCAGTAGCCACTATATATCTGGCTACTGCATCCTTTCTACCTATCCTTGGGGTTCAGGCCGAGTTACATGTCTGATGATATTCTCTGTGCCTTTTTTGCCTGTTAACATCACTGGAAGTTGCATGCTCTGTGCCGATTCCTGAACTTTCTGGATTATTTTTGCACACATTAATTTTCTTTTAAGGAACCTACCGGCACATGATAAAACTAAGTGAGAGCAAGGTTATCATCCTAGCCCGGGACAGTCAGCTTCTGTTTTGTGGGAGCAAATAATATTTTATCAACAATGATTTCCAGGTGAGAGTTGGGCCCTTCAGAGATTGAGCTCCCTGCCTTGCAGGCACAAATGATGGAAATTATTCATGCAGTCAGAGAATTATTTACAACTGGAAAAATGTCATAGGCTCAGTTAGGCTGAAAATGTTGCTTGTTAGGTTCATTTCTGGGTAAACATCTGGATAAGCATCCTTTACTGCATCTCTTGCAAAAATGGGATAGGCAGTTTTAAGATACAAACTTACAGAGCACATTATACAGACCCTATGAACTCCAATGGATTACGGGAAGATATTCAACATTGCCAAGCAAACTGAGCAGTAATTGTCCAATGAAAATTCCTGCATTCCTTTCAAATAGGATCCACTCTATCTATCTATCTATCCATCCAGATTCTGCTCAAGGAAAAGCTGTGTTTGCCCTGAATTGGACAAGTATTTTAGCTAACAGGGATATTCAGCCTCAAATAGTACCATAGAAGTAAATGTAGCAGATTCATCATCCGGGGACAGATGGAACAGGAATAATATTGCCTGAGTCGCCCACAGGACATATCTATTTATCCAGATAGATAGATAAATAGATGTGTGTGTGTGTGTGTGTGTATAGATGGATAGATAGAAGTATGTGTGTGTATGTATATATACACACACACAAATACACACACACACACACACACACACGCGCGCGCGCACATGAACTGCCCTGTCTCCATTTGTTACTTTAAATTTTAGGTGGCCTCTTTATTGGCATAGCTTTCACAAACAGTCCTCTTACCTTTATGTGAAGGTTTAAGCAGTTAATAAAAGAGAAAGACACAGTCAGTTATTTATTAATAAATGGTCAGCCAATTATCAAATATTATTAGGAGTCCAACAAAGGCAATAGGTAGTTTGCTATGTTCCCTTATAACCATCTATAACTCCTGCTACTGTGCTTATTACCATTTCTAATGCAGGCTAGTGAGGTGTGAAAGCATGCTCACAACATCTATTCATTATGTATAAACCATTCACAAAAGAAACTTTCATATAAAGTGAGGCCCCTCTAACATTTGGGTTGTTTTTCTAGGGAAATTTAAAAGCTTGTTTTTCTACTTAACCAGGAGCCAGCTGTACATAAAATATAAAGGCGCTGGTTCAGAAGTAATTTTTGTCTTGCTTCAGGGACCACCTGAGAAATAAATAAGAGAAAGCACAACAGACCAGAGCCTGCAATCCTGGTAGCGTCCAAATGAAAATAAGTGCACAACCATTTCTACTCTCAGGTTAGAGCCCTTTATTGCCTAGACAGTCTGTATTAGGTATAAAATCTCCCAACTCTGTTACGTGTTGTTGGATGTTATGGCTGGGCCTCTTCAATACCTGACACTGTCGTGGTGGGCGTGCCACAAACGCCTTACACGACCTAGCTCTCACGTGTAGCTCTCTCTCTCTAGGACTTGATCCATTAGATCTGTGGTTTTCACCCAGTAGTCTGCGGATCCCATGGGAGTCCACAAACTGTGTCTACAGGGTCTGTGAAAGACGATGATGATCAATCACAAGTATGCAAACACCCACACTTACAATTCAAAGGGGTCCGCACCTCCATTCAAAATTTTTTAGGGGTCCGCAAATGAAAAAAGGTTGAAAACCCGGAAAGAGACTTTTTGGCTCTGTGCAGTCGGTCACCGGACAAAAGTATCTCAGAGAAACATTTCATAGAGAAGTAAAGCTGGAAGGGACCGCAATGTCTCCGAACATAGAAGTGACCAGTGCTTTCTAGTACGCTCCCTACCGGTCAGCTCGGCACAGAGCAAAACAACTGGCAGAAAAAGCTGCATCCCATGTACAGTCATTTGGGCTGTTCGTTTTCATGGGCTTGTTTAACAACGCATGTGTGCAGGTATACACCAGCGATGCTTACTCAGGCGAGCAGAACTGCTCCTCCCTAAGCCGTCGGCTCTGTACTGCTACCCCAAAAGAGATCCCCTTCTTTTCAGGGAGCGGGTCCTGTGCTTTCGAAACAAAAGGACCCGATTTCTCTCCTCACCGCTAACGTAACTGTTCCAGGGTGACTGTGGACTAATTTAAGAAATAATTTCACTCAGAATACCAGTCAGTCTGCCCTCTGCTATGATGAGATTCAATCATTTTTTTCAGAAGGACATCGCAATTTGTGGCCTTATTATTACAGCCCATTCAAATCACCATCGTTAGCGTGAGAGAGCATCACTCACTAAAGAGTGAACCTGGAGAAAAATTGATTTCTTAGGCTTATTTTCAGTTGACTAGAATGACTGGTTTCTTGGATTTGCAGTAGCGGTGATATCTTTTATTAGACCAACTAGATTTTTGCAAAAAAAATAAAATCAAATCCTTTAATTGCTTTTTCCTCTAGAGCAACACGGCTACACCCTGGATACCTGACACATGGTTTCTTGGGTGGGATTTTTATGAACTTGGGTCCAGGAGATAGGACATCATAATTGCTACGGGCAAGGGAAGCAGTGGTGGGAATGACCAAGTGGCCTGGGCAGTACTGTATATATCTGTGTATGGGGCCACAATATAAACTGCCCAAGCCCATGTGTATATAGGTCACCAGTATAGAAGATCATTGATGGTAGAGACATTTCTTCAGCTAATCACCTGGGGCCTCCGTTTTGAAACTAAAGCTTTCTGGAGTCTTTTGTTGCATGTTAGGGTTGCCTGGTAGAGATGGTGTTTACTCAGCAAGCTCAGCTTGCCTAGTCCTTTTGGATTTGCAAATCCCAAGCTATCAGACAGGGTCAGATCCAGGCCCCATTATGTATCAGCCTATGATTTCTGCTTCTTTTGTGCATGAAGCCAGGGGTCAATACACATTTACTCTTTGCTTCTGGAACAAACTTTTGTGGTAAGCTCTCTTATTTCAAGCGGGGGCTTTATTACATGGGGCGGTTTATATGTGTGCTGCCTCCTCCCCTGGAACGGGAATGACTCTTTCGCACCCTACAATTCTGCCCATTGCTTTTGTAGCCTGTTTTTGGAGCCGGAAATTAATTTGTCTTGCTTCTTTTAATTGCTCAGTTGTGTGATCTGTGCTTTTATGGCTACAGCCTGGATGGCCAACAGATCAAAGAGGAAATACAAGCAATTTCTTCTTTTTCTTTAAAGAAAAACAGAATATTAGGGCACCAACGTAGGAAAACGCACAAGCCTCTTATACGGTCTCAAGTTACCTAAGCACTGAGCTTGCCCTCTGGGGTATCAGCCATCTACTTGAAGAGCTGAAGAAGAAGAAAAACTGGAATAAGAGTGAGAAATAACTCAAAGATCAATGGGCCACAACATTCATGAAGCTCACCCATCAGCAGCCGTCAACCATCCTGATTCTGGAACGTGCTCAGATCTTAATATAGATCAATTAATGGGATTTGGCTATTAGGCAAAAGTATGACAACCTTCTCATTAGGTTTCAACATTTGGGTATGCCTCAATTTAGGCATTCGAGACTTTGCTGATGTCAATATTTTCGATTTGTGTTGCTGTAGTGCTTTAAGGACCCAACAGGGCTTGGGGCCCCCCTGTGCTAGGCTATGTACACACACATTTAAAAAGATGCTTCCAGCCCCAGAAAACCCTGCCTGAGCACTGTGGCCATCCTAATCTACATAAGGCATTATCTATTCTTGTACAGGAGTCTCTCCCAAATGGTCTTATTAACCAGAATTCAAAAGTAGTTCTGTACAAAACCGCCTGGCTCCCTGAGTGCTACATTCCCTGTGAATTCAAAGTTTTCCATTCCTCTTTCTTTTAGCACCTAATAAAACTAGTACGCCCACCCTCAAAAAAAATCCCGTTTCATAAAAAAATTGCTGTCTCCTCATTCAGCCTAGTGCCACCAAGAGAAACGATCTCCCGCTCTTAGACTTTAACGTGGCATCTTTGCATTGAGAAATGAGTGAACTGCAGAACGAGCTGCCAAAGCTTAGGATTCATAGGTTGAAGACATGTTTTGGCTTCCCGGATAACACAGTATCTGAACCTATGCCAGACCGAAGTTACAAAATGTATAGACATTACTCACAAGAGCCAAGGCCGATGCTTTAAAATAACCTCAACGAGACTGGCAGAGCGAAGCCTATTTGTTCCAACAAAAATTATTCGGCTAAACACATTCGTGCTATGTGGTTTAGGAGACCATGCTTTAAAGTCCCAGGGGTCTCTCTCAAGTTTTGAAACACGTTCTCCTTTCCTTTGGCTTCACTTGGGTCTCAATATGTCGTTTCCCTAGTGACTTGGCTGGAAAACGTGTGGTTGCTGGAGATGCTATTGGATTTCCTGGTGAAGGTGGGTCTCTTTTTCTTCTTTCTCCAGGGCAGGCACAGGAAGGTGAGGGTGGAGATGAAGATCTGGCGGAAGTTTGCTGACACCAAGTTGTAGAGGATGGGGTTGATGGCAGAACTGACGTAGAAGAGGACATTTGTTAGCATGTAGAAGTAGTGGTAGAAGTTAAAAAGGAACCTGATGGAAGAGAACAAGGACAGAGAGAGAATCTAAGTGACACAGGGAAAATGTAAAGGATGTATGAAGAAAACACGAGCTGTTTCAACTGTTAGTCTCGCTATCTGGGAACAGGACAACTGCCACATGAGACCTATGATATGATGCCGCATCCTCCTTCCCGCACAAAAAGAGATATAATAGGCAGACGAAGGATACTCGCCCTCCAACAAATTTCCCACCCTCGTCCCTAAATAGTTAGAAATGGATTTAAGCCCTGAAATAGGAGGTTTGATATATTTAAGCTGTACATCTGTTTTGTGCTTTGTAAAACAGACCTGCTGGAAATCCAAGAGCCTGCACTGGCATGTTGCCCTCTATAATGCAAATAGTGCCTCCGCTTTCACCAGCAGAGCTGGGTCTGCTTTGCAGTGCCCATAAAAACACAATGAGGCCTCATAATATATATTGTCATCTCTTCTCTCGAGCCAGTGAGAACGATATCTGTTTGTGCAATTGTTCTCTTGGGTGGAGTACATTTCTGTTTTATGATGCACTCCATCGACGATTGAGGACAACAGCTGGAAGTTTCAGTGGACCGTGGCTTATAGCCAAGGCAACACAAAAAATCACATGCTAAAGTACAAGTCGTAGTGGTGATGCTGAATAAAAGGCTATAATTGCTAGGATATGGCTGCAGCTTCGAGCAGCCAAGAACACACTTCCTAGGAGAAATGAATGCCTTCTGGACAGAGCGAGCTTATTACCAACTTATGGAGAAAGTGTGAAGAACTATGGGAGTAAGTCTCCTTCCAAGCAATTCCCATCTAAATGCTCTTGAAAATCAGTCAAATGGTAGCTCTGGTCTATTCAGTTCAGATAACTGACTGTGGTTTGTCCCTAATGACATGGACTGAAGTTCTGACATGCCCAGAGGAATATCTCCGCCGGTCCTGTCCATTCACAAGTGATTTTCGAGGCGTTGATTCCAGGATGCCCAACCCAAGACATTTTAAAAGGGCATGTCTCAAGTTGGGGCATCTAAACACCCCATATCTTGGATATATTTTGGTTCCTACCATCAATACCTTGATAGGGTCATTCGTTACATTAAGTTTCCTTTGATAAATACTGTAAGTAGTCAAGGGTTCATACATGATTATCTTAAAATGCAGGTTTGTCACAGTTTTACTGGCCAATAAGGTGTTTATAATTATGGCTTATTGCAGTGGTGTTCAACTTTCCAGACCCGTGGGCTGTATGAGAGGTGTGGGGCCAGTCCATAGACGGATCCGGCATGGGTGGGTGCATGGGGGTCAGTTTACAGAGTGTCCCCACATGCCAGCCTAACCCTGTGAGCCAGATCCGGCCGTGCAGCAACCTCATGCATTGATCCAACCCCATGTACTGGCATGATGCAGCATTTGGGACCATGTCATCTGCTTTGCAGGGCTCCCTACCGGTCTGGAAATTTGGCAGCGAGGGAGCAGTAGCAATGGTAATTGCCACAGCGAACTTCTGGACCCAAGGGGGACCTGTGAGCCAGACGACAAAGCCTCACAGGTCAAATGTGGCCTGAAGGCTGGACGTTGAGAGCCACTGGCTTCTAGCCATGCATAGCACCTGCAGTACCTCTGCGGCAGCCTGAAATTGGACATTTTAGCGTGCATTTCCTAAAGGGCAAGAGCATGCATGTGGGCAGTTTCCAGGGGGCAGCCGCCATACAGTAAGCTCAAAAAAATTAAATTTGCTAACTCCTGATCATATTCTGCCCCTTTTGCCTAAGCAAATGTTGTTACATATTTGATAACTACTTCAAGCGCTTTTCTTCTAGAAATGCAAACAAGAAACAACAGCTTGCTCCATGTATGCCCCATAATTAAATGCAAGATCTGGATTTTACTATGGCTGGATGTACAATGTGATTCAACGGACTGCCCTGCTGCAAATTACTATTACTTGTGCTTGATGCGCATGAAATTTTAATCAGCCTCTTAGCTTAGCTACATTGTAACATGGTAGAAGTTTTCTGGGTTTTTTTTTCAAAGCTCCCTGCAGGAAACAGAGCACTTTGCAGAGAACAGAGAATGTAACATGGTAGGAGACCCACCTGAATAAAGGTCAGGCATTTCATTGTACACATCTCCTGCCAGCTTCAGCTCCACCATACTGGACATATATTTGCAGGAAGTTTAGATGTCTATTTGCATATGCAAAATGCTTGCTCAATTATATCATTCTTTTTACCATGGCCATGCAGAAAAGTCAGGCAGTTGCCGGAGCAGAGAGCCAGCAGGATGCATTTGCACATGCTGTTATGCTATTAATGTAAGCAATGGCAAGAAGTGTTCACACAAACTAGCCATTCATTTGCAAATAGAACTGGACCTAAGCTGTCTGAGTACCCGGTCCCTGACCGCTGCCAGTGGACAACGATTCCCTACACCTTAATTCTGGCTCTTTCACTGCCACACTTAGCAAGCAAGCTACCTTATGCTTTAATAACTGATGCCATCATTTTCTCAACAGTGTAATCTCTCCTGTCACCAGCAAAATTTAGCTTTGTAGAGCTAATTGTGTGTTGACATGAGCTGTTCCATCTCAGAGCCACTGATCTATATCTATGTCAGGGAGACAACTATCAGCTTAAGGGAGGTAAAGAACAACAATACAACCTCAGATTTACCAGGGACTGTCAGAGGGGAAAATTAGTCACTCTACTGGTAACAAGTGCTAATTTTGTACTTGTCACTGCAGGAGATGATCAGATGCTAGTGATGCATTTAAATGCAAAATAATGTTTCCTTCACACACATCTTTGAGACCCGGCTGTTAAAAACCAAAGTAAAAGCAAGCTGAAGTTCTATTTTGGAAAACATCTTACATTCACATTTTCCCAGACAAACTTAAGAGATGGATTCGGATGTCCTTATTGGTATAAAATAGAGCTGTACTCCTTGAATGATCTTAGAAATCATAGGAAATGATGGTTGGGAGGGACCTCAGGAGGTCACATCTAGTCCAACCCCTGCTCCAAGTAGGACCAGCCCCAACTACATCATCCCAGCCAAGGCTTTGTCCAGCCGGGTCTTTAAAACCTTCAAGGATGGGGAGTCCACCACCTCTCTGGGTAACCTGTTCCAGTGTTTTACTACCCTCCTGGTGAGCAAGTTTTTTCTAATATCCAACCTCAACTTCCCTTGCTGCAACTTGAGCCCGTGGCTCCTTGTTCTGTTATCTTCATGACTTCAATGCTGCTGCTGGTGGGAATAAGAGGACAATAATCTTGCCCATAAATAATAATTACTCACTCTGTCCAATGATCTGCAGGAACATAGCAAAACATGAGGCGCCGTATATGATAAGGAAGCCAACAGACCACAAAGGCAATTACAACAGCACCTGCAAGATACAAGAATATCCATTGATTTTACAGTGCGCCACGTGTGTGATGTGCTTTTCTGGGAGTAGAAAACTAATCATTTTGTGCACATTAAATGCTGTGTTACTTATTAAAAGCATAAGGACACTCCAATTTTGCCATTGCGCAAAGCATTAATAACACCAGGGTTATCATCTGTTTGTGGTAAAGCAAGAGTAATGGAAATAGCAGAAAGGCTCTAGACTGGAAAGCCTGGGGGGAACATGCTGGAGGTAGATAAAGACAGGAATATTTAGCAACAGGTCTTCAAAGGGCTCCTTATATTACCTAGTTCAGATTCTGCTCGAGGAAAATCTGTGTCTGCCCTGAATTGGACAAATATTTTAGCAAACAGCGATATCCAGCCTCAAATAGTACTAAAGAAGTAAATGTAGCAGATTCATCATCCGGGGGCAGATGGAACAGGAATAATATTGCCTGAGTAGCCCACAGCACATACCTGCATGTAGCCATGTGTCAAGTATATAAAGCCATTGAATTACCCAGTGTTTGTGAGCAACAAATGATGACTTTAGCTGCAGGGACTAAGAATGTCTTGTTGTTCTGGGTCAGTACCACGCCTGTTGTAAATGGGGCTGGTGCACAACGGGAACCCCGAGATAGTACCGGCCTGCAAAGGGTTTTCTATCAGCACTCATGTTTTAGCCCCAAAAGGGCACCTTTGTCAGCAGGAGTTTGCAATACTTCAGTTGTCAGACATGCTACTTTCTTTGTCAAACTAAAAAATACTGCCAGGCCTCCTGGAAACCTAGCTGGGACGTGTCTCAGAGGAGCAGAGCAATCCACTTTGGATGGTGATGGTTTCAGCTGTTATTGTAGTACGAATGGGGTTTTTATTGCAAATGCACACCTTGATTGGGGTGGAGGTTGGAGTCGTGTTGGTCTAAGGACATAGGTAGACAAGGTCCTTTGCATAAATCTGATCTCTTTGATTAGACCAACTCGAATAGTTGGACAAATTCTCCTTTGCAAGCTTGATCAGAGGAGCTCCACGTCATACTGTGTTTGCCCAGTATTCAACCTGCTTTTCTCTCAGAGAGAAGCCAGTGTGGATTTTCACTCTTATCTCTGGCAATGTCTTCACTTTATCCCTTCTTCACTGAACCATTTGCTGCCATTCCTGACATTTGCTGCCATCACTCCTCTGTCTGCTTGTGCGGTCTACCCATTCCTCCTCGTCTGCGTCTGTACTTTCTAGTTGGACTGTAAGTCCTCTAGGGCAGAGACTACTTGCTAGTTTGTATTTCACAGATGTACAGAAGTTTAGGGCTGGAAGGGACCTCATGAGATCGCTGGGTCCAGCCCCCCTAGGTGTACAACACCTAGTCACAACGGGACCCCATTCTGGGCTGTCATATTAAATATGATTAATAATAATCAGGTGACGAGGGAAAAGGAAGTGGAGGATTTTAGCCAAGACACAGAAAAGAATGACAAATAAAGCATGACATTAATACATGGTGAATGATGAAAGCTCAGCTGGTGCCTGCTCCTGTCAATCTGGATTTGAGAACGATCAGACAAAGGACAGCTACAATACATACTTCAACCCTGGTGTGAAATGACACACTTCTGGCCAAATTCCAGCAGGAAATAAAGGAAACCTCAGTCCAAACAGATTACAATAAAGGCCATACAGGGAATCAAAGGTAAAGGAAGCAGTTATGGTAGTTCTTCATCTGAAAAGTGCTCTGCTGAGCGGGGTGGCTAGGCTCTTGTTGGACACGATGTGGGTTCATTTGGGCCTGAAAGACAGGAAGGATCTTTATCTCAATTCCCCTTTCAACTGCTGTCTCTTCACTCCCCTCTTCCCCAGCGGACTGGTGTGCGGAGGACAGTAGTTTATGGCTCATGCAGGGCTGCAGCAGCAGCAGGCAGGCTCTTCCTGGGGGATGCAGCGCTCGAGGGGGAATTCAAAAGCAGAATATAAAAGCAAACCCCAAGAGCTCCACCTCACCTCTATCCGTACCAGAGAGAGCCTTCAATAACCCTCCCCAATGCACCTGTAGAGGAAGGGAGAAGTACTTGCATCTGCATTTTGAGGGGGAATAAAACCAGGCAAAGCATCTTCCCCAAAGCTGTGCAGAAAGCAATGTCTGACTTGCTACTGGAAAGCAGGCCAGGGGTCCCAGCCCCGAGAACCACCCCAGCTCTCCATCTCATTTTCTGTTAGCGTATAATTACAAGATTCAGGGGGGAGGCTAGAGGAGTGTACTCATTTCGCCAAAGCCTAGAGGATGTCAAGCCTTTCTATAAAATTAACTGTTCCAAACAGGAGATTTTATCACACCTTCAACTCTCTTAGGAAATACGAACTTTCATTTCTACCCAGGAGAACTTCTGTAATCTTTTCTCTGATATCTAAAGAAGGGCGTTTGTGCCTGAAAGCTTGCAATTAATTACATTTTTCAGCAAAAATCTAGCTGATCTAAGAAAAGCTATTGCCTCTACCACGAGTCCTGAAGACTTTTTAGGCATTCTGGAAAAGTCATTTATCTATCTACATGCCAGCAATTCACATAAGTACCAATTCCCTGTCTCTGGTTTATGCTGTGCTGAGTGAAAGAAAAAAGGGTGAGGCATTTCCAGGAGCAAAGTTCAAATGTATCACCCTTCTTCTCCAGAGCTAGAGCTATGTCCTTCAGTTTTGCCTTTTCCTTTTTATAGGAAAATGCCCAAGTCATATTAGTCATAATCACTCATATTTCCCAGTCCTTTGAGTCAGTACCATCAGCAGTTGTGCAGGCAGGACCAGCTCTATGGTGGGCTGCCCTCCTGAGCTCAGTAAGAGAATTACAGACCATAGGTGTACCACTCATAACCTGAATCCTGAACGCAAGTACTGGCATTTACTGGGTCGGACCCTAGGTCCATCTCGCCCAGTCTCCCGTGTCACAGTGGCAGAGACCGGATGCTGAAAGGAAGAATGAATGGGTCTGACCAGGATTTTTCCCATTGTTTCTCTCTCACTTGCAGCCTCCAGCATTGAAGGACTAGGAAGTTCTCATTCAGAGACCGTATCCCTAACTTCAGCGCTCAAGAGCTACCTACCAGCCTCATTTTGTGACCCTAGCTCTGTGTCAGCGCCTCTAGATTCTGCACACTTCAGAGGGGCAGATGGGAAATTCTCTGGCAAATGCTTTAAAAGAATGGAGGTTTTTAGTGAATTAAATATGAAATGAAAAAAGGAACCTGCAATATATCCTCAGTGCTATTCATCGCTGCATTCAGTTCAATTTATTGGAAGCCAGCCTCCCATTTCTGGTTTTTAGTGTGCACTGACACCAGTGTCCTTCAGGAAGAAGAGCCTTTGTAGGTAGGTAATGCTCTGTGAGCAGGTGGGGTTGGGGTTTGAGGCGTAAGCTGCCTCTTTGGATGGTTTGGCTATAGCAATCAACAGAGAAACGGTCAAAAAAGAGGATCATTAGAATGATTATCATGGAGCATCACATTGCACATCCTGTAGAGATGAACGGGGGAGGTAAACTGTTCTTTGCAGGGTCAGCTGAACTGGGATTTTGTAATGAAAGTCACTGCAAGAGAGACAAACATTTTAGCAGCATGTCTGTGGAGGACTCAAGCCCAGGTGTTATTCTTGGAAAACACTTTCAATCTCCAGAAACTGAAATACTGGGAAGTGATCCACATGCCTTTTAGCTCCAAGAAGACCAATGGGTTCATGTGATCACAGCACGCCAGCTTCTGTAGCAACAGCACCCAACGGAGTAATATATCTGGCATTACTTTCACCCATCCGGGTCATACCCTGAGATCTATCCTTACAAAGCTTGGCATGTACAATATTGCAGGTGCATCCATTTAATCCGCCTTTGAATATTTGGCTCTGGAGCAAATGTCCAAACTGGCATCCACCAGATGTTCGCGTGTGTGTGCATCATCTTCCGTGCAGACACGTACGCACACGTGCCCCTGTGAATTTCAGCTGCGAAGAGCAGAAGATCGGTTTTAACAACGGTGACATCTCAGTTTCTTTTAGAAGCAGTTTTAATGCTTGGCCATGTGCTGGCTCGAGACTTCTTGAACCACGCAAATCTTACACCTGGAAAAGACCAGCAGTTCCTGTGTGCATGCAATTCTGTGCCGAGATTTATGGAAGCGGGAGGGTCTATATGGCAAAATATGCATCCAAGTAAAAGAGCTGCTCAGTTTCCACACGCGGATAATCAATTAATGCGCAATGGTAATTTCATAACATTACATGCAATCACTCTGCAATTAAAATGCGATTAAATACATAGCAAAGCATATTGGAGGCACTTAGGCTGTGGTTTTAAATCCCAGCTGTGTAGCGCACTGTGCTGCATATCAGCAAAGATCCTCCACTGTGCTTTCATCCTGTGTGGCTCTGTGCAGCTGCGATTAGGAGGCCCTGACCTGTATTTGTCACCCTTAATCCTTATGTTTCAATTTTATTATACGTAGGCTCAAGAAGATTTAAGGTGACAATCCTGTCCCCTCCATCCACTCTCTGACTTCCAATGGCAAACACAGGAAGATGTCATTTTTCATCTAAAGCGCCAGTAAAATGTGACCTCTCCAATTCTCTTCCAGGGAGCTGGTTCCCCTTCCTC